CCTTTTGGTATGAATGTAGGTTATGGTCCGACAACTAAAATAAGATGGGGAGGCATTGCCTAAAGTTGTTATAATCCAAAATGGCAGCCATTTTTCAAAATGGCTGCCCATATTTTGTGTTTACTTAGCAATTCACTGATAAAAGCTTGAAAATGGCATTAACACTATTAAATATTGGTATAATATTAATCTGGAGATTCCGGCCTTTAATTTAATACCAAGTTTGTAATATATTACAATTATATCATCTCTATAATATAAGGCTGAAAATATACTCATTTTCAGCCAATTCTGAAGGTCATCAAAAAGCTTTTTATTTTAAGAGTTAAGTTTTTCACCTACAACGTTTTATTTACAACGTGTTTTTCAACTTTGCCTACATCCATTTTGAGACATAAGGAAAATACAAACTATGCAAATTCACTGGAAAGAGAGTTTTTTTCTTCTTCCTTAAGATATTTTTTCCATAAAAAATAAGAGGATAAAAATTTCAACAAAATTATGACACTTTCAATTATTTTTCTCTACCAGGTTGGCAATGCTAAATAGACAAATATTGCCAAACAGCTGATACTACAGGTCATTGTTGTGTTTATTATTATGTGTCACTCACGTTCTGAGTGTAGTTTTATTAGGAAACCCTGTACAAATGTGGCCGTCACACCGGGCCTAACACGGTGACAGTCCTGGGGGTTTTTATTTTTTTCTGATTCGAGTGAATGAAGATTGGATTCTAAAAATGGAAAAGCAGTTACACTTAGTTCCTCAGAGTGACTTGGGTGGATACTAACCAAAAGCTCTTGATCGGATCATTTTTATACTGTGCCAAAAGACAGATAATGATAGATTGCTTTGTCCTAAAAATAATAAAAATGTAAATGCTTGTAGCCCCAGATAGTAACGCTTGTCAAAAACTTTCAGAACTTTGATGACATAAATGGTTTACCCGCCGATATTGATATAAATGTTTTTAATGGAAATCGGTGTGGAATGAAATGAATCAGAAAATCAGAAATAAGTCGATTAATAAACTAGTTTGAAAAGAAAAATTGCTCATGACCAAAAATCATCCACTAGAAAGTCTTCCACCAATAAAAGGTGCATTACTACAGCAAGTATTGCGTAGTGTGCAACATCACTCTCTAAAAACAACATCTAAACAGTGTGCAACATCTGTCTCTAAATTCAGAAGAGAAATAGATCAAATGGAAATCCTGTAATAGGTCATTTATTTTTTCTTGCTCTCTGTATTCATTTAATTCTTTTTGCCTTATCTTCATCTTCATTCATTCTCACACCCCACCATTGCATTATTTGTTCAAATGTTTGTTTGTAACCCTTTGTTTGTATAGTTGCATATTTGATTTTATATCCATTATTGTCTCATTTAAAGTAGTAGCATGTTAACTTGTTGATTGGAACTCATTATTGTTTCATGAATTTGTTGTGTCTATATTACTGTATTTATCAAGAGCATTTTCATTATCTTTCGGCATTATTGCACTTGCATGTAACCTTATAATATTATTATTAAACTGCAAAGTCTTGATTGTAAATAGATTGTAGTTGTAATTTTGTTATTAATTGATTGTATATATTGTTCATTATTTAAGTAATTTGAAATCAAGCTGTCTTGATTGTTGTTATTATTAACTGACATTGTAAAAATAGTGGAACCGTTGATAATAAATAAATAAATAAATCACTAAACAATCGAGGTTGGAGTTTGCATAATGAGTCTTGGTAGTTGAAATGGTCGGAATTAATAGAAATTTCTGATTCCTGCAAAGAACTCATAAAATGTGTTTGTAAATTATGTAAAAACAAGTGCAGCTGCAGAACTGCTCGTTTATTTTGCACATTATTGTACAAATACAATGAATGTGAACAATCATACCCTTGCCGCAGCAAACCTGCAGACCAAGCGAATTTCCATTTGTCTGAATTGATTTCAATTAAATATATTTAAACAACATTAGGTTTAACGAGTACCTAGGATTGCTGCTACAAGGAAACTAAAAAAGTTAGTTTTTTAGTCAGATATTAATAGCTTGGTATAAGATAAATACATTTACTATTTTTATTAACATATATCCATAAACAAGCAAACTACAACATTTTACAATATTCTCCATAAAATAACATGAAAATTTTAAATTTTAATTTTTTTTTTATTTTTTCTGTTATCAATAACCCCACAACAACACTTTGATATACTAAATTATTTGTTTTTAAGCTCTTTAATAAGGTATAGTGATAAATTGGAAAATTTTATGTTTTGAGGTTCAACAATTATAAAACGAAATTTTTACCTCATAAAACCTCCTGTAAAACACCGTTCCTGTGGTCCGATCATGTTGGTTCGCGAACTCTTACAAGTTTATTTCGCCTTACACCTTTAAACCAAATTTCATCAAAATCGGACAAAACTTACTCAAGTTATCGCGTTCACGGACACACACACACAAATATATACATATATAAAAAATTGAACGAATGGTGTGTTTTGCCTCTGGGGACATTAAAATGACAAAATAAATCGGTCCCGGGTCTAGGTCTTACCATGCCACCTACGGTAATATTATGTAAACTAGCTAAAATTATGTAAACTAGGCAAATTAGCTAAAAATGGTGTTGGTAGAAATATTCTGCAACTTATAAAATATAGCGTGTTTTTTATTTGGTGATATAAATTTTCTGTAAATAAATTTACGTTTATTACATTATTCTTTAACTTATTTACTTACCTTATACCTTAAAACTAAAAAAATGATCAGAAACACCATTTTGCATGATGTATATCAAAAGAAAATATATAAAACCCAAAATACGGGCAGCCATTTAAAAAAAATCGCCGCCATTTTGGATTATAGCAACTTTGGTTGGTGCCTCTCCATCTTATTTGCATTGCCTAACCTTAAACTACATTCCCACCAAAGGGCATACTCTTATCACAATTTGCAGTTTTTTTATAGTTTTTTTACTGTATCTCCCCCACTATACATAAAACATGCGAACTAATTGCGAGTGCGACGTGAACTTAGAAAAAGACTAGTAGAATTTACAACTGTGAATTTCTCAGAATTGATTGACAGTTCAGATGAACCTATGGCTACAGACTACGGAAACCTACAGTATTATTGTATTAGTATACTGTATTTGTATTATTGTGTTACTAGCAGAGTACCCGTCCTTCGTACGGGGTTGACATATAAGTATAAATGCTTATTGCAGTTATGGAAGAGGACACGATTAAAAAAAAAAAAAAACTGGTCTCTTAATTTATACGGTATCCTATTGTGTGGCACACATCTACCATAGTCCTGATGTTCTTGCACCTAGACAATGGAAATAGTAAAGTTCTCATTGTGTACCACAACTTTTTTTGCTAGTTGGTTCAAATTAGCTGTGGTCATTAATGCAAACAAACAACATAATAGTGCTGCACCCTGTTTGGCAAGCCTTATAACTTTTTAATGCTTTCTAATATCATAGAACCAACTTGTACAGTTGAAACGGCTGACAAAATTCTTTAATTTTTTTTAATATGAATTCTCATAAGGTTAACTAGAGAAAGTCCAGAGCCAGAGCCACCGGGGCGGAGACTAAAAGAATTTTTGAGGTAAGAATGTGTTAATCGGGGATGTCATCTATCATCATACCAAATTTCAACCTTGTCGGTTTAGTAGCCTATTTTTCGCGTTTGCTTGTCACAAACATCCATCCATCCATCCATACATCCATGGTTTGCACTGTAAACAAAAAGCTATCACAATAGTTCCATACCGACAAATAGGAAAATATAAATAAATATGGCTTATCATTATAGCTTAAAAAGTAGATAGTTTACATAATATTTAGCACATTTGATGGATAAAACTTTTTTGAATTCGTCATATTATAAGTGTATGAAAATTCATATATCTGTGTATCAATATCTACTTATCTCATTTCTGTTCAATGGAAGTTATACAATTTCAATGATACCGGTACTTAAATGGGAAGTCTTACAGCTGTTATAAAACTGTGCATACATTTTATCTTACCAGTAAATTTGCTACCAATTGATATAGTATGACAATTCTATTCTACTGCAGTACTTAGAATTCTACCACTACTCACATTAAACCAACCATATTTACTTTTGGGCTAGTGATTAATTTATTGTATTAATCATACAATATAGTGAATAGTGTAGGTAGTCATTTATTTATTTCGTTTCTATGACATAGCTCTATTTTGTAGAAATCAATTATGCAATCATAACAACAGAAATACTGCATCATTCCATTTTACGGTGACATAGTATTTATTTTACATATAAAAAATTTAAGCTAATGCAATAATTAGTTCAATTAGAACCATTGAATATTGAATAATTTAAACATTAATCGAAGACGAAGCGGTTGACAACTTTCAAACAGTTGACTAGATAATTGCAATGCGAACTGTATGCACTGAGGTCGGCAAACAGTGTTCACAGTGTGAAGGCACTTTGGACGTCGTGGCACTTGGACGTCGTGCAACTGGCAGAGGCTTTGGACGTGGTGCAAATGATACGTCTTTACAATTATATAGTGCGCTGTTTCACGACGTCCAAGTGCCACGACGTCCAAAGCTTGTAGAAAGACTATATTTTTGACAGTTACTGTACTTTTGGACGTCGTGGCACTTGGACGTCGTGCAACAACTAAAAAATTATGTTTTGGACGTCGTGGCACTGGAAAAATATTATTGGACGTCGTGGCACTTGGACGTCGTGCAACACTCCCGTCCAGTTTACCCTTGTACTGCACCGGCTCACCACTTTGCTAGGATACGTTTCTTTGTGGCCTATGTAGACAGGCAAATGCAAAGTAAAATTTCAATAAAAAGGCTGCCTATTAAATTTGTATCAATTGTGTAACGATCAAGACAATAAAAAGCTAGCCTACATGTTTATTGCAAATTTTCTGTATTAGCCATAAATATCAAAGTTGTAGGCCTAGACTATATTTTACCTGAAGGGTTGGATTTAGGAGATAAGTCGATGATTGCTCTGAAGATGGGGCCCTGGAAAAATAAATAAATAAAAGTTGTTGGTGGGTTAAACTTAAGATTTATTCATTAGGCACTGGAAACTGATGTTGTATTGATCCAAGAAAGATAGAATCTAGTCTCCTTATTCAATCAAGGCAACGACTATGTTCCAAAAGCAACAGATTGCCAATCAAATAAAAATTCTTGCAATTCACACTAAAACCCAAACGAACTTGGATGATTCCAATATCAAGGTACCAGTAATAGAATTTGATTGGACTAGGCCTTGTTCCCAAATTTGAGTAAGTAACCTTACTTAAAGCTGGGTTTTCCTAGGCGCGGAATCGGCGAGCGGAGAGAGGAACGCGGAGAGCGGACTCCACTTGTCTTAAGCAATTTAATGTTACTGTTTTCCTAGAAGCGGAGCGGAATGCCATGTTAATTTCAATTCCGCTCTCCGCGTTCCTCTCTCCGCTAGCCGATTCCGCGCCTAGGAAAACCCAGCTTTAGTAATAAAGGGGTTAAAAAATTAAAAAAAAAATCTCTTTCAATTGCACACTTACCAGAAACATATTATGTGTATTCAGTAAAAATTATCGTTTGATAAATATGTGTCCTATTTTTTCAAAAGTCAACGATTTGGAGGATAGCTTGACTTTAATAAGGAAGGCCTACCATTACTAGATTTTACCAACCAAACACCCCTATGCATCAAACCTAACATCAAACTAAAGTAATTTCTATTTGCCTTATTGTATTTTTACTACAATATCTCCATAAAAATATGAGATTCATTCCCTTACTAACCCTATAATTGCCAATCAGTCATTTTATGGCCGAATGGGGACCTTGAAGAGCTATTGGTCCAGTATTTTACACATATCGAAGCTCATAAATTTAATGCTCATTAATTTAAGCTAATTAATTTATTGACTAAACCTGGATGCAAAGTTAAAGATGTTGGCTATCCTGTCTCAGAAGAAAAACCCATTTTCATTTCATAAAACAGTGTTCACATTGTCTGATCATGATAATTCACAACTTCATTTGAATAAATGTAGGCTTAGATGTTTATACCAGATTTCATCAACATCGGATAATTTTACACAGACCCTAGTCTATATATATGTGTGAATTTAAACAGATGGTGTTTTTGGCCTCTGGGACCATCAAAACAAAAGAGTGAATCGCTTCCGGGTCAAAGTCTTACCATGAGACCTACGGTAATATCTTATTTTCTATATAAGAAATTCGCTACAACACAACAATTTAAATCTTTCTTTTTCTTTTTTTACAATAAGTTTAAAAAGTATAAAATTATCTTTGTTTGAATTTAACCTGAGCTGTACTAATACTTGACACGATCATGTCAACATCAAAATATCGTGGTAACTGACAAAACACGATGCGAGCGGGTAGTACCCGAGCGTAAATGCCAATGCTATTGTTTATGTTCTCTCTAGAGATGACATGTCCAGCTAAACAACAATTGGTAGCCAACATAGTAGTGTGTGATTTTCATTTTCTTGGTTGTTGCAGATCATCCTTACTTGAAAATAATACCTTCTTGTAGATTAATGATTATTTCAAGTAGGCTAGGTATTCATTTTATCAAATCAAATATTACTTTAGCCTACTGCAAACAAAAACATACGTTAACGTAATGATTGTTTTCTGACAAAAATGTAATAAAATAGGCCTATCTATATATATTTAGGCTTAAAACTACCTCCAATAACTCGAGAGCTTCTATAACCAGGTTTCGGATACGCCCCGTTCACACGGGGCGAGTTTACAAGCTACAAGCCGGATTTTTTACACGCAACTAGTAAAATAGCTCAGTGTAAACGACGTACTCGCTCAAAAGCTGCTTGTAAAAAAGCTCTGGAAAAAGTTGAAGCTTTGAAAGGAGCATAGTTATGAGGTTTGAAGCTTCATAGAACTATGAAGCTCATTTGAGTTTTAAACCAAACTCTAAGCCAGTTTACCTGCCACCTCGTCCTGTTCCTTTTATTTTAAGGGGGTTAGTCGATGATGAAATTGACAGGTTAGAAAAGGAGGGAATTCTCTCAAAGTTGACCTGCTATCAATGGGAATATTCGACTTTGTGCTTATTACAAGGTATCAGTTAATAAGACCTTGGAACCTGATCATTATCCAATTCCAACCTTGGATGACATATTTGCGAGCATGAGTGGCTGTACGTATTTTTCGACTATTGATATTTCTCAGGCGTATTTAAACATTCCCATGGACAACGAAAGTGTCAGAGTACAGGCCATTAGCACATATAAAGGTGTATGTATATGCTGTTGATAGACACATGTTCGGAATCAAAAATGCTCTGAGGACAGCTGAGTGGCAAAGATTCATCCCTCAAGCTCTAGACAACATTCCAGGTGTTACGGTGTTTTATGATGACATTAGAGTTGTGAGTAAAACGTTAGAGGAGCACAAACATCGGCTGAGAGTAGTTTTCAGAAGGTTATCCAATAATAACTTGTGATTCAATCAAATCAAATCAAAATCAAATCGTTTATTTGCACATTAGATTTGTATACAATAACATGTAACAAATATCATGCATCGTCAATATTTACAAACTAAAACTAAAACATACAACATGAGAATCTACATATATACACATTATAGGCTTAGAAATTCTGAGACGGAATAAACGGCATTTGAGCATAGAAAATATTTTAAGTTCCTCTTAAATAGGGACAAAGAGTCTTGGAATTTTATTGCCTGAGGCAATTTGTTAAAAAATTCGATCCCCCTGTAAAACGGACTCCTCTCAAAGGCCGCAGTTCTGTGCCTCGGATAACAGAGGATGCCTCCATTTCTCGTCCGGTGGTCATGGAAATGCCCTAGATGTTGAAATTGATCCCTGTTGACAAAGGTCAAAATGAGGACCTGCTGAATGTACAACGAATGTACTGTAAGGATGCCAGAATCTTTGAACACTTCCTTGCAAGGATGGCGATGGGAGAGACCGAAAATGCGCCTCAGAATCTTTTTTTGGAGCTTAAGTATTCTTTCCAAATCAGAAGAGCTTCCCCAAACGGCAATGCCATAACGCAAAATGCTTTCGCAATATCCACGATAGACGTCCACAAGAACTTCCCTGCTACAAGTTGAACTGAGAATTCGAATGGCAAACAGAGCAGAACTGGTGCGGTTAACAACACTTTGCACGTGACCATACCATTTGATGGAGGAATCAAAAATGACACCTAGGAATTTTGTGGTCAATGAGGGATTAGTGAGCTGCGTTTCAGGACTACTTTGATTATTCTGAGACGAACCAATCAGACCAAAATTGAGACATTGTGTTTTGTCTTTGTTAAGGAGAAGACCATTGTACTCAAACCAACTATTTAAGCTCTTGATGACCGAAGTGAATCTGTTCTCTAAGCTGGTTGCATTTGGGGCCTTGATTAGAAGTGCTACATCGTCAGCGAATAAATTCATGTGACAGTCATTTCCTTCATAATGGAGATCATTGATGTACAATAGGAATAAAATAGGAGAGATAATGCATCCTTGGGGAACCCCTCGCCGAGAAAGCATGTAGGACGATGAGATCGGACCTGAGGAACTATTTATGGGAACCTTTTGATAACGGCCAGACAAGAAAGAGCGGAACCACTGCAGAGCAATGCCTCTGACACCATAATGAAAAAGTTTATCCAAGAGGATCGAATGGTCCACACAATCGAAAGCTTTGGATAAATCGCAGAAAACCCCCATCGTCTTCTGCGATTCATCCAGGGATCGCAATATCCGGTTCGTGAAGTCATAAAGAGCAGAAAGAGTGGACTTCCCTTTTTGGAAACCATATTGATGTGGACTTATGATATTAAACCTTGACAAATGACTAGAGAGACGACTAAGAACAACCTTTTCATAGATCTTTGATAATGCCGACACCAAAGCAACAGGCCGAAAGTCATTTGGCAAGTGGCTGTCATTCTTTTTTTGAAGAGGGAATATATTTGCGAATTTGAGTTTTGATGGGAATTTTCCTTGCTCTAGGGACTGATTTATCAAAATAGACACAGGGTAAGCCAACTGATGACCACAAAATTTCAAAATATTTGGAGAGATACCGTCCCACCCACATGAGTTCTTACTCTTTAGCGAGCCGATGACATTTAACACCTCGACTTCCTTGGTTGGAGCTAGAAACATTGAAGATGCCACCTGTGGGGAAAAAGAACGCAGCCATCGCATAGATCCAGTCCCACAGGGTATCGGAGCTAGAGAAGTTGGATTCTCAATAAAAAACTTATTAAAATACTCTGTCATTAACTTTTTGTCATCTATCTAAAAGTTACATCTATTTCATCTTTGACATTAAACACATTATTCCAATCAATATTTGACAAAACTTCTCTAAAATTAATTTTGTTTCTCTCTGAAAAAACACGTTTAAGTTGACTTGATGACTTACTGCTATTTTTTACCTTGTCTGTAAGATTCAATTTCAAAAGTTGAGCATTGTGGTCAGATAATCCGAAATCAACTACCCTTGTTTCACTTCCCTCCTGGTTGGTTATTATGTAGTCTATGCAAGTTTCCGACCTCTCTGTCACCCTTGTTGGTTCATTAACATGTGAAAACAACCCAAAAGAGTTCAATAGTAAGAAATGTAATTTATTTAAAGCTAAGATTTTGTATTTATGGCATGAAATATCAGAAAAGGGTATTCCACAAATGTAAAGAGGAAGTAGAGGCTGTAGTAAATGATCCTTGACCGGCCAATAAAGATGAGCTTAAAAGTTAGTTAGGTCTCGTTAACTATTATGGGAGGTTTGTCAATCATCTCTCAAGCTTGTTGCACCCTTTGTATGAACTGACCAGAGATGGTAGGAAGTTTACCTGGGCCTCAGAATGTGAGAAATCTTGGCTTCAAACAAAAAAGGAAATTGCTTCAGAGTTTTGGTTCCATTATGACCCTAAATTGCCAATTATTCTGTCAGTTGATGCCAGTCCAGTAGGGCTTCGAGCTACTCTTTCACACGCTCTCTCGGATCGGAAAGACCAATATGTTTCGCTTCTCCCACTCTTACACCCACGGAACGGTCGTATTCTCAAATCGATAAAGAAGCTACAGCAATCTTTTGGGGTTTAATAAATTTTTTCAATAGGCTATATGTTAGGATGAAGGCCCTTGCAAGAAGTTATGTCAGGTGGTCAGACATGGATCTCGATATAGAACAATTCGTGAAACATTGTACACCCTGCCAAAGAAATCAGAAGAATCCTGCTAAAGTGTAGCATCCATGGGAACCAGAAAATGCACCGTGGAGAAGAATACATGTTGATTTCTTAGGACCTGTCTCAAATCAATACGTTTTACTGGTTGTAGACTCATTCTCTAAATTAATGGCTAGAAGCCTGTTAAATGACACAAGCAACATCAAAGAAAACCATAGAGTTTTTGGAAGATATTTTTTCACAATTCGGCCTATCGTTTACATTGGTGGGTGACAATGCTTCGATATTTAAATCAGAAGAGTTTAGTAATTACCTACTTAAAACAGAATGGTACCTATTATTCATAGAACTATTGCACCCTATAATCCGCAAAGCAATGGCCAAGCAACGCTATGTTCAAGAAGTGAAAAGGTACTTAAGAAAAGAAGTGAACGCAAAGGGAAACCTAAAAGAAAAACTTCTTAAAGTTCTCTCATCCCACCGGCGAACACCGACATCGACAACAACTAAAAGTCCGGCGAAATTGATGTTTGGAAGAAAACTGCGGACGACTTTGTTAGATGAGTTAAGACCTTCATTGGAGTCAACGTTGAAACCTACCTTTCCCACAGCCCAACAAGGACATACGTCTTTCAAAGGAAATATAAGAGAGGTCAAAGAAGGTGAACCAGTTTTGGTAAGAGAAATTATGAAAAATGGCAAAATTATTTGGAGAAAATGTGAAATAAAGAAAAGAATTGGAAGAGTGATGTACTCCGTTGCTGTTGATGACACGCTATGGAGACGGCACATAAAGCAACTTCGAAAAGACATAGAATTCACATTATCCTTTAATGAATTATTTCCTGGAGGAAGAGTTTGTACTGCCTTATAACAGATACATTAATTTTAATAGTTTTTTAGCTGACTTAATTGTTTGTTTGTGTTTTTAGGATTGGCAAATAAAGTAAAAACTACCGGTATGTTACATAATGCTAGCTTCATTTTATATTTAAAATAATTTACAGTTAATTTCTTGAATTTGTGCCTTAAATTGTAGGCCTAACTAAATTAATTCTTTTTTATACTGGAGTTTGGAGCTTGTGTTTACCATATAGGCCTATGTTCCTAAGATAATTCTTAGCAAAACAAGAAACACTTCCGGTACTTTTGAAAAAAAAAAAATTTGATTAACATCGGAACAGTTTCTTAGTGTTTTCAACAGAAATCATCCCGTCAGAAGTCGGTAAAAATCAGGAAGTGTTCCAAACATTTTTTAGTAAGCCGTTTTTATAAGCTGTTTACAACACTTCCCTGCCCCCCTTTACCGCGCCTATCTACCACCACATGACCAATTTTGAGATCCTGAACGAATAGCTCAAGCTTGTGTATGAGTCACCACTATCCTGAAAGCGTAAGGTAAGTTACCACGCAACTACTTAACTAAGTTTTTCTTTTGCAGAAATAAGTTAGCCTTCCTTTAATTGGTTTCCAGTTTGCTTATCTTTTAGCCGACTAGGTATGGGTCAAATCTTCAGAGTCAGCACTGAACAGTTTCAAAACGTTTTTGAAACTCCCGTCAATCCGCAGCTCTCCCGATAGGAGGTCTACAGCCCATCATCCCTATTTAATTCCTCCAACAGGTCATTACCCGGCGTTATTTTGATCTGGATTGAAGTGACAGTCTCATCCAGTACCGTCTCAGTCTGCGTTGTTTAGATATGATCACAAAAGCCGCCGTAGTTAGTAAAACATTCTATTCTCAAGACATCTCAAGAACGACGAACTTCGGTCCACAGGAACGGCTTAAATAACTTAATTTGTTTTGAACAATTATTAAAGAAAATGCACTAAGCTATCTAGCCTAGGCCTAGGCTTATTGTTAACTTTTTTTAGCCTACAAACCAATGGGAAATTACGCAATAATCAACAATAAGTTCCAAACATTTTGTTCCTAACTCCAGTGTAAAAATGGCCTGTCTTGCAATTTCTAACAGTTTGCATTGTGAGCGCTGCACAACTTACTCTTTTGCTTGAATAAGGATGATAAGAATAAACCGGTCATTTGGTTCTCTTGGATGAAATACATATGTACAGTAGGCTACTTTAATTTGGTTTAATACTTGGTTGACATAGCCTATCTAAGGGTTTGCATGGCTTAGGCCTATTAATAATAATTTTAAACTATGATCATGTTGCCGTTTGAAAATAAAAGTGTTTAAGTTAGATTGAACGTTTGAGAGAAATAGGACTAGTTTATGCCTATAAAGTTTTTACTCACGATAGCAACAATGAATTATTGTCGTTCGATCTTTCCCCACATAAAACTTCATCTTCCTGTTTAACCTCTTCAGATTCAGAGTTATTGCTGGCACAATTCATGATTCCTTATCAATAGAAATTAAAAAATATATGTTGAGGGATATTGTTATCCATACTAAACCAGCATTTCTGCTATTATTTACTAAACTAGCCTAAACACTTGATATTCATTTTTATTAGAAGCCCAAAGTAAGCAAAAGCAAAGCCCAACATAACCTGAAAAACAGTGAAGTTGATTAAACTAAGAAAAGAAGTTGAAGAAGGTATGATGGACTAAAATAGCCAGTGGGGCCAACTCAAACAGTAGAAAAGATAAAACATTAGGAGTATATGTGTACGTATAGTAAAATATTCGCTAGTCAATATGACTTCACATTTCACAAACCGTTCCAATTGCAGTTAAAGTTACAGTATCTATCTAATATAATTCAGTTTTAAAAATCTTTGTGCATCTAAATCTAGAGTTCTACTGGACCGATTTTATTAATTAATGGGTCGTTGGAAAGCTTAGTTCGCGTAGATTTGAAAATAATTTTATGAAATTTTGTTTATGTTATGATTTATGGTGAAATAAAAAAAAACATGTTTTCCATAAGAAATACATTCAAAACGATGTTTTTCACACTTTTTATTTTGGGGCGACTTTTGGCTGTCTTTTTTTTAGTATTTCCAAGAAGTTCATGGTATCAATTTGTGGGAAATTTTATTCTCTTTCAGAATATTACCTTCCACTTTGGACGATTTCCTCACCATTTAAAAGTTATTTGCAAAAAAGCTAAGCAACCTCCGAATTTATAGTAATGTCAATTTGAGTTGGGGATATTTTTGTTAAACTTTGTACAACTAAATCTAGACTAACCATTGGAAAGCCTAATTCATGTAGATTTGGAAATAATTATGAAAGTTTGATTTTATTAAATATTTGTGGTGAAAAAGTAAAAATATCAAAAATACATAAAAAACTGCTTTTTCAAGTTTCTGTTTTCAATAAGTCATTTATTTAACCAAAATAAACATACACATGCATTATGTCATTTAACAAAACATACAGTTTCTTGACTTCAATAAGAAATAATAACTGTTTTTTTTTTTTTAACTTACACTAAGAATACCTATAATCAAACAAGTTTGATAGTTTTTTAGCCGTCAGCCAGGAACTTACGGACGCTGTAATAAGCTTTTTTTAAAGACAAGATTTTAGGGTTGTTTTAAATTTCAGATGGTTTGATACTGCTTTGAGGTGAGAGGGAAGATAGTTGAACATTTTTATTGCATTATATCGGAGATGGTTTCGAAAGAAGGAAGTGTGGTGTCTAGGAACTGGGAGGGTATTTGGGGATCTCAAACTATAATGATGGTCTGTTGGAGTGTTAAACTTGCCAGTGTTTTGGTGCAGAAAGGATAATGTCTTGTAGATGTAGAGACATGGGAATGTTAATATTTCGGATGATAGAAAAACTGGTTTACAAGTCTGACGTCTATTCATTGAAAAGATGGCTCTAATTGCCCTCTTTTGAAGGCGGAATAAAAACAGAGTTCTTTTGTTCTCACACCCCCAGAGGCAAGGCGTACACGATTCAATTTTATATTTTAGCCAGCTTTTGGCTGCCTTTATTAAGTATTTTCAAGAAATGCAGAGTAGTTATTTGTAGTAAATCTTATTCTCTATCAGAATATCACCTTCCACTTTGGTCGATTTCCTCACCATTTCAAAATTTTGCAAAAACGTAAAGCAACCTCCCAATTTATAGTGGTGAGAAAACACTGAATGTTGTTAAACTTTGTACAATTAAATCTACAGTTCTACTGAACCGATTTTATTAATTAATAGGTCATTGGAAAATCTAATTCATGTAGATTTGCAAATGATTATGAAAGTTAGATAAAATTTTTTTAAAGATTTACTAGGTGGAACCCATCAAAATCGACAGTTACTGTTGAGGTTGCAAGCAAGATCATTTGACTATAAATCGATGATAAATAACTCAATTTTTTAACAATTTGGGGTTTTCGTGATTTGGAAATGTGCTTTAGGTACGTCCGATCTTAATAATCAATAATTCAAATGAAAGCTGGTATTTCACTGAAGGTTCTTAGGTCAAAACCAACAGAATAACTTAATTAGAATTGAGTAAATATATCTATAACTAAATTCCCAATCAAATTTATGTTTTCTGATTGAGCGATATATACAGTATCTTTAACTTAACTTATTAAAACGATCAATATTTCAAGTGAAAGCCTTTGAATCATTTAAAGACCAAAACATATAAAATAACTGTAATAAAAATATAGTTACGTATCATTGATTGCAGATAAGTAGTAAAATGATTATAATTACCGTTGATTCGTGATTCAGCAGCAGTGTGCTTTAGGTAGAATTTTTAAGAACGGAATCTTAATAATCAATAGCTCAAATTAAAGCTGGTATTTTACTAAAGGTTTTTAGACCAAAACATAGCTTAGGGTAATGTAACTAGAACTGCTGGAATACATCTTTAATTGAAGTAAAAATATAAAAAAATATAATTTATATTATTTGTTGAGTAATACATTAATTTGATAAATTAATGACGATGCTTGATGACAAATATGTGCTTGCATAGCTTTATTTTAAGACCAAAATTACAAAAATCCCAAACGAAATCGAAAAGAAAAAACAAATTTAACTCCCATAAGAAATGTACAGGGGACGCATTTTGTACATAACTCGAAATATAAATGAAAATGAATGCCGATGCTTGATGGTAAATCTGTGTTGCGTCCATACCTTTAGTTTAAGGCCAAAATTATAAAAATTGGTCGGGTAGAAGAGCTAACCCAACTCGGAAAAGAAAACCAATAATTTTTATAGATGGAAAAAATTATTGGTTTACCAAGTACCGCATAATCTAATCATACGAAACGTGTGTTATTAATTAATTAAACAGCTTATTGTTATATTGTTATATTTTTTAATCAATTTTTCTTTGATTGAATGATTTTTTTAACAATTTGCACATGTGTTTAAAGGAGTGTGTTTCTTATGTTGTTATGTTCTTAATCTGTACCATTAATATTAGTGAGTAAAGTGGTGTATGGATTTCATAACCATTATTTTAATAGAGACCGTTGTATTTAACCCCAACGCTATTGCTAGTGATATAAATAAACTGGGAATTGAGATACCCAAAAACATGCTATGCAATACATGCTAGAGTACCGGTATAGCAAATTTAAGTGACATAACCTCTGTATCAACACACAGCTTAATGTAACCAACATACTCACCTTGTTCATGTGGAGACCATGTCCCGAGTAGTGGAATAAGGTTGTATTATAAAATTCTAACCCTCAATCGAATCTACCGACACACGCACACTGGCATGTCGCACGCATATGCACTCGCATCCGCACGCACTCACGAATAGCACGCTCACGCACAACTTACTCACGCACAAGCTTATATCACCAGCATGGACTTAAGCGCAACAAATCAACTGAACTGATAGCTTCCAAAATCATTCTCCTGAAACCGTATCTTCAATTGGAACGACACGCGGATAACCGCTTCAGTGGTGAACTGCATTGTTCGATAGGTTTTTCTAATAATAAGACAAACTAAGTAAACACATGTCCAACGGTTACAGCAATTTCGTGATCAAGACGTTTTGACAGCCTACAATAGTTGTCACTCAGCTGTGCTCAAATGATTTTACAATCTCTAACCCATACCATACCTTAATTAAAATTATATGCTCAGGATAACCAATTCAACAGTAAACTGCATTCATTTATCATAGGTTTTTATGTGTAATAATTTGCAAGTTGTAGTCATTTTTTACTCCCCCCCCCCTATAAATAGTATATGGAGAAAGTATTGTTTTCGTAAAAATTTTCGAGTTAGATTTTTGAGTGGGTATATCTATTTTGGGCCCCCTGAATCCAAAAAAAGTGGTTTTCGAAGTGATGTCTGTCCTTGTGTGTGTCTGTCCTGTATGTGTGGATGTGTACAGAACTTGACTTTGTATATAGGCATTAATCCAAGGTATCTCCATGTTTTTTAATTTTTTGGAAATTTTGATTTCTAATGGCGATTCCCCCATTAAACACACCATAAAATAACGGAAAATTAGATTTTCTCGAAAATGTCCAGAATGATTTTGGTAAACATTTAGTATGTTATAGTCCTTTATATTCTGAACAAAATTGTACCGGTACCATAGTCCCATTTCCATAAAAAATACAGTTCAAAATTCATTGTAACTTATGTTATTTTCCCATAAAATAACTAAACACGTAAGATTTGAGAAAAAAATCTGGTTTTGATCAAATTAGTGTGTTATGGTCCTTGTAATTAATTCTAAAAAAATAGTGGAACCCCCTATTGCCGTAAAAATTGCGATTTTCCCTAAAATATCATAGTTACTCCCACCGCTTACCCATGACAAAGGTTGTCAACAAGCTAATGGGAGAAAGTATGTGGTAACCATGTGGTCAATAAATTGTTGCTGATAGGTAAGTTTTTATTTATTTATTCCCAAGACATCCCAATCTGTTCTTTTTTTGTGAAGGAGCGATTCAATCTCTAGTCTTTTTTATATTGAATAACAATTACAGTACAGAAAAGAATAAATTAACATAGGCTACTTCGTATTATTTATGTTTTATTTTATTTTTTATTTTTATTTTATTTGCATTCCAACGGCAAAGACCATTACAAAAATGATTACGATACTTAAATCTTAAATTATAATTAAATATGCATTTATGTTCTAACTAGTGGCTTGTAGAGACATAAGTCCCTAAAATGCTCAATAATATAAAACAAATTATTCTAAACAAAGAAATATATTATCTATGTGTCAGAATAGATATCCCTGTATATATGCCATATCTTTTGTGTAAAAAACAGTTTGTTGTTTGTCTTTGTTGATGCTATTTTCAATAAATCATTCGAATCACTACATAGATTTAACTCTGCTAAAGCAAGGCCACAGTATAAAGGCAGCAAACATTTACCTAATTGGTTGTGAATAAATACTGGTTTATTATACTGGTAAATAGCTGGGTAGCTCGTTAATTATTTATTCAATGTGGTTATTTCTTGTTAAACACAAGTTTGAAAAGTTTCACAGTAAAATAATATATTTCCATATTCTATATAATGTAACTAAAAAGTCTTATTATAGGTAACGTTATCCCTGGTTTTTAGTACATTGCTGAACTTACTGGCAAATAAGTATAATCCAAATGTTAACATTGCGTACTGACTTGATGATAAATCACGATCAGCTGTATGAAGTAAACAAAAATTAGCAGAAAATGGCTTCTAATGCTATTCTTATGGAGAACATTTTACGTTATATCTCGTTTTCTGGTAACTTTATGGAAATTCTGCTATTTTTCCCGAGTCCCTGGGGTCAAGACCTTTAATTTAAGACCCCTCCCACTTTTCTGCGAATTACCAGACGTCCAAAATTTTCTGGTAAAGATTTTGTCTTACAGAATTATATATAAGGATGTTCTTAAGAACAATATTTTACCGAACGTTCAAAACGTCCAAAAATATTCCCATTCACAATCACAGGCGGTTCGCGCCAACTCCAACCAACGCCCACAACGCCAGCAGAACATATGATAGTCAGTCAGCTGACATTCCAAACTTCTGACATGATCGTTATTTTGCCAAGCATAGAGGTACAACCTAAAGTAGCAGACGAAAATCAATGTTTTTGTTTGGGCTTATATTTTAAACTGTCTGTGTTTAAGGTTAATTCATAACATACTATGATACTACCTAAACAATAAAAATATAATTTCAACCATAGATAAAACATACTCAACTTACGTTAAATTCAAACAAAAGAAATCTGTCTTCATCTAGGAATGCTTTTGTTGTTGTAAAAACAGACTTTTGGATTCGTCCTGAGTCTGAGCTGAGTGGTCTCAATACAAAGTCTAAAATTAATACATTCGGATAGATTACCCTTTTGCGTCGGTTGTAAATTATAATATTACTGCTTTCCAAGCCAGTCGCGTAATTTATTTTCATATTTTCATTAGGAACAGTTTCTATCTGCATTGCAGAAAATTCAAGTAAGTTAATTCCAAATTCCAACTTGTTGGTACTGCGGTTTATTGACATCCATGAGCCAATCAAATTACGGGAAAATGCAAAGAGGTAAGTCATTCTATTTTAGTGTATCATGCAATGACCTAGTAGCAATGTTGAGGTTTCCAATGAATTTTATGTTTCTATTTTGTTTGACAGCATAACATCATATTTTGATGTTAGTTTAGAGCAAGTGTTTCAGGTCAGTGTCTAAAAGTGGGATCTTTTCATAGTGTTTTGCTTACAAAAAGATAACACCTTTATGCAACAGTTTGGTAGCCTTTTAGGACTAGGATAACCCATATCTGGTAGACCTTGATAATGATATCAGACTGTCACACGCAATTATACATAGGATTTTTATTTTGATTATGTTTTAGTTTGAAGAAAGTGCATTGTGGCGCGGGTAATCCTAGCTGTGGTTCATAAGATGACCACAGGACTCCGTCACATCGCAACTGAACCTGCAAATCTTAATCAGAAACCCTTTACCGCCATGGATAGAAAGAGAAGCCCTCAACTGCGTAATAAGATGAAATCAGTGGCCGGTACTGCATCTGATTCGGTAAGTCACCAAGAACTCATTTGGTTTAGCTTAAAGTTTTTCATGGCCTGGGGTACTGAGGCCGGTATATAGGCATATTTGTTTTTTATCCGTTGGGGTACAATGCCCTGGCTTGATTAAGAGTTAACTCGCTCTTGGAAGGTTAAAAGACACCTAAGGTATCTCTTTAACACTGATACATAGGAATCTGTCTTTTGTCCATTTAAATTAATACATATAAGTTACCTATAGGATTCAACCTACAGGCTGCATTTTAGTAAGTATCTGACCTACAATCATTCAAATGAAAAATATCGATAGGCCTATATAGAATATTCGATATATTGATTATTTCATTTGGTTAATCTAACTAACCAAACTTGGTACCGTATATCGAATGAAATAATCGATAGGCTATATCGAAAGATATATTCATTTGAATGAGTGTAGGGCGGATACTAAAGTGCAGCCAACCTACAAAAGAAAATAACTTAACTTAGTAGAAAAGAAGCCAAGATTGCTTTGAGAATCCAACCTACAAAAGAAAATAACTTAACTTAGTAGAAAAGAAGCCAAGATTGCTTTGAGAATCTTGCAGAGTGAATTGACAAAAGGAGGCTTGGCACAAACATGTATTCAAATGTCTTTATGTATTTGAATAAGTTAGAACTAACTTAAGTCATAGACCTGTAGTAAAGTCTAGTTAACATGAATTAACTTAATGTGCTGGAGTCCAGTTCTAAATAGGTACAGTACCTATAGAACCTCGCTAACTTAATCAAATTACAGCTAGGAAAGACAATATATTTCGAATCATGGGAAGTTTGAGTTATATAGGTCAGAACAAATAAAATTTGAATAGGCTAATGGAGACGTCCTAGTTTTTAGTGTAGAGTTTGAATTATAAGGGTCAAAATAAATAAAGTTTGAACTATAGATGTACCTACTAGTTTATTTTTTAAAAGCTTACCGGTACCTAACAGAATACCGGTAACTTACTGTAGTTCAAACACATCTCTTGGTCAAAATACTGTAAATATCTATGTATTACCGTACCGGACATATTGAATAGGCTACTGTACACACAAAATAACATAATAGACTATAACTTAAAATAAAATAATATTTAAGCAAAACAAATTAATGGCAAAATTTAATTGTTATGCATTAGGTATTCAACAGTACTTTATTTACAAACATTGTTCATTCAGTATTAAAAAAGCCTGTAATTCTTTACTTTTAACGCTCTTTTGTATTGAATAGTCAATACTGTTTTCAATAGTTACAATACAATGGCTGAAAATATGTTATCACCAATATCACTCAATTGTTCAATAAAAGTGTGAATGGTTTTGAGTGCACGCCGCGCTTCCTTTATTGTAATGAAGTGAAGGTTGTCTCGTCTGCTCTAGTCTCATCGTCTGCACCTGACCCATCGCCATAACATCAATAAGAGCGTCAGTTAATGTTTCAATCAACAGGCATATTTTTTGTCCTAAATTTGAATTAGGCCTACAGAGGTTTACGGTAATGGAGTTTGAATTGTAGAGGTTGCCTCCAAATTTAGAGTCTAACAGTTCGAATTACGGCAACTAAATTTGAATTGTAGAGGCTCGAGTAAGTACAAATTTGAATTGTAGAGGCTGCATTAAGCGTAAAAATCACTTTGAATCATCAGTCAATTTTTTTTTCAAATTTTAGAGGTTTTCTGAGGGGAACAGACGATTAAAACTAATTATAGAGGTTTTAGATTTGTTGAGGTCCGAATTAGCGAAGTTCTACTGTATCAGGATAATCTGTTGTGATACATCTACACAGAGTAGTAAGATATATCTTACTTCTCCGTTGAAATCTCTTAGACCCTAGTCGTTAATGACGCTTGTAATATTAGCAACTAAGGCTACTGCAAACTGCGAGTAGCTTACGCAGCTTAGAATACTTTAGCCTATTACATAACAGAATAGATCCAGGAATATTGCAATACGGTAACCCAATATATTTTAATGTTTAACAGTTATAATAGCCTAAAGTTTATAAAAACAAGCCTAAGCCTACTGTACTTTTAGTAAGTTAGTTTTAAGTAGACCCACAAAATAAAACACTTTAATTCAAAACTACTTATTGTTAAAATAGTTCCCTTAAAACTAACTACTAGGCCTAAATTATAATCTCAATAGGCCCTATGCGAAAAGCTGCGTTTTCACAAACTAAAATGCATGAAGTGATAACAAATTTAAAATATTGGCATTTAAAACAAATTTATGAATCTGAGCACATTTTGGCTTTAGAGTTCACATGTGAATGTGAGATAATCAGAATCAAAATCAATAATCTTTATTCGGTCTGTATGTACATACATGAATAGAGTCAATACATTAATAAATAGGCTCCAAAAGTTTACAGAAATCTTTACATAGGCTATCTTAATTAATAATATTAGTTTTATAAAAAAAAAAAACTTTCATTTTCAATAGAAACAAATTTATACATTAAGAACAGTAAGCATAAGCAAAAATTCAAATATGAAAAAAGATATACGTTACAAACTGATAAATTTAAAACTAAGAAATGTAGGCATCCCACTTCATTCACTACAGAACACAGAAGAAAACACAAACAAAATAAACACTGGATATTTCAAGGCCACTGGCCCCTTTCTCAACATGGAGAGTCATATTAGATATTATGAATATTATATGAATATTGCTATATTATGAAATATCTAATATGACTCTCCATGTTGAGAAAGGGGCCAGTGGCCTCGAAATATCCAGTGTTCATTTTGTTTGTATTTTCTTCTGTGTTCTGTAGTGAATGAAGTGGGATGCCTACATTTCTTAAGGTAAGCCTGCTTATCCTATTCTTTCTCACACCTATTCTCAGGCAATTAGCCCTTTCTCTCCAAACCTAAATTTAAAACTAAGATTGTTTTTAGATTTATAGTGCAAACAGCCGTGGCACCTGAGGGATTAGGAGGCCCCAAGGGTCTCCATGGGTTCTCCTAATCCGTCAGGTGCCACGGCTGTTTGAACGGAGTATAAAAGGTGATTCAAATAAAAACTTTTTTAAAAAAAGCTAAATTTATGTTGGGGAATGTTAATTAATTGTAATTCTATTTATAGTATAGTAAATGTATATCTCTAAGAAAGATGTGATTGTGGAGCTGACTTCTTGACAAATTATGCACTTCAAAATATATTGGTCGTACACCGTTAGTATGTTTAAATTGCAAAACAAATTTTTACCGATGCGTCATGCTGTAGATTTAGCATTATTCGCAAAGATCTTTTTTGAAGTTTTAAGATTTTGTATTTAAGTTTTGCTTTGTAGTGCCCCCATAAATTGCCAGCCCGTAGGATAAATGTGAATGAATATGAGCATATAATATATTGATTTTAAGGTAACAAAATTACATAAAAATGACATCCTGTATAAAATATATAGTCCTGTAGAAATTGTAGTTACTTTTTGAACATGGGCATCCCAACTCAAATTATTATCAACCTCTATCCCTAAAAATTTGGTGACTTTATAGTAGGTATTTATTTCACTATTATTACTGGTTATACTTATGGTAGGTTTTTCTTGATAAGTTATGGTGTCATCAATAACCGGTCTTAATCCTTGGTTAGATTTAAAAGAATATCAGAAGAAAATTTAAAACATTTTCAAGCAATTAAGATGTTTAGTTAAGTTGATGACTTTTTCACTTTAAGGATAAAAAGAGCTAGATCTGCAATTTACAAAGCATGTTTTGAAAACAGCGTTTTTGCTACTGTCTGAAAAGAATAACTCCAACTCCCGTAGTAGCTATACCTAGGGTCCTTTTAAATCCATATGATTTAGATATTAATAACGTTTTGATATAAAGAACTTTCACTTAAATTTTTAATGTTTAAAATATTATTTAAATTGAAAACATTCCTTAGATTTTTAGTAGGTACAAGTACAAACCTTGGCAATGAAAAATAAACAGTTAAAATCTGTAGGTTGCTATTGAAAGGTAATCAAATATCCTCCTAATTAGACTAGGTAGTAGCCTACAACGTTAGCAAGGTTTCCTCAATGTGTTTTTCTTAACTAAATGTTGTCACTTGGCTACAGGCTACAAAGTCGTTACTGGATAACTTTAACATTCTCTGCCAACACTCTGTTTTCTTCCGTCTTGTGAACTCTGTTCCTTAATGTTGAAACCGGCCGATTCATCTAATAATGCTTTATGATTACTCTAATCACTCGGACTTTTATAAACAACATTTCATCTCTAATTAATGTGAGATTTCTCCGGTTCAATTAGTGTGTTTGTGACATTGATAACTCTGATAAAACATGACCTGATCAGAATGGTTGCTGGAAAAGGTTCTTTCTCTTTGAAAATGGTGGAGTCGGTGAGTTAATTGCATTACAAACTATATTTAGATCACTTATATTGCATTCAAATTTTTAAAATCTTAAATTTGCAATTCTTCGTATTGCACTCCTTTTATTGATTTTTTATCAAATAAAATGGTATTTCGATTCGAAAGTGAAGTAGGTCAAAAAAATAATATGCTTTTATTCAGTAGTCGCTTCTAAAAGGCATTACTAAAATATACCATGATTAATTTAGCGTAATAAGTAAATCAAGGGGATTCGTGCGTGTATTGCGCATTTTAATTGTGTTCAAAACTGGTTTCCAATGCAAAGCCAAATAATGCAGTTACCTTTTTTAATGTTCAAAGATTATGATTTGTGTTGTTTACTGTAAGAAAGTCATTAGGTGAATAAAATTACTGATTTACAATTATTAATCGAATTATTTTTCCTACAGTTACCGTACCTGACAAAGTTGGCTTCCTTGCACTGATTATAGTACGCCAAGTAGCTATTGATGCATTTACTTACTTTTGCCATACTTATTTTTTGCCACACTCTCCAGTATTCCAAACCAAACAACACAAAACAGTTTACTTTTACTAGACACGTCTACGCTTGTAAATAAGTTGGCAGCACTTAAAGATACTGCGGTACGACTACGATCA